GGATGGACGGACACACGTCTGGATGGATGGATGGATTGATTAGTGAATTTTTGGGTGGATACATGGATGACAAACAGACGGACAGATTAAGGGATATTGGACGGATAGATGAATGAATAGATAAGATAATAGATGGAATAACAGCTTGATGGACAGATGGATGGATAAATAGATTGGTGGGTGGATAGATAGACAAATGGCAGCATGGATAATGGACTGATAAATGGAGGGAGGGCTGATGGATGAATAGGTGATACATGGATGGATGGAAATAGGAAAATGAGAAGGGCTATTTTAAGGAACTGTCATTAGCTTGTCACACATGAACAGGCAGAAACCTAATGGTGTTTATCCTCATGCTGGGCTGCCTCCCTTCTTCATTAGCGAGACGACTGCGTTACATAACCCTTATGAAATCTGACATTATCCCTCCTCCCTGGTGTCAAAAGAGTGACCCAGAGCTCATTGTGCAGCCCATCGTCCTTGCATAAAGGATAAAAAGCAGAGCCGGGAGTCCAATTCACCACGATGATGCACTGATGCAACAAGACTTGATTTAATGGATAGTTTTTGTACAGAGAGCAAGTACTTTATTATTCTCCATCGAGGATGACTGATAAATTGCTGTTGTGTTGACTAGACGTTGTGGGGGGGAAAATCCCAGGACATCCCTCTCACGAGGGTGATCTGAAGGGGAATCAACATTTTTAATCTTATGTGGGAGGAATCATCAAAACACAAGATTTCCGTGGGCGCTTTAAGCCTTAGCTCCACTTTCATTATGTTTCAGACAGGAGAGCTTGCCAGCGTAGTTCACCTGTTGCATGGCGGCATATTTTGGAATCATACAATTGACCAATTTCAATATACTGTTGTTTTAATCCAAACACAATATTAAAGCTGTAGTAGTGAAGATGTATCCACCTTCCCTTTCTTGGTGGTCATCAAAAATGTTTCTCACGGAGGCCAACCTACAAGGCGGGATGTCAATACACATAAATAAAGAAAACCGCTGGACGAAAATATTCCCTCACATACTTGCAGTTGTTTTCACATTTGTAGAAGCAGGTACTGGGGAGAGTTTCCAACCACAAATGCGATAGATGTTCAAAATAGCTGGCAGGGCCATTTGTTGCTCTGCTCTACCAAGGTTTTTTTTTGTCCACAAAAGTATATCGACACTCTTAGTAATTACTGGCCTCAGGAGAAGTGGCTTGAGTTGGTTGGAGCACAACTCTATCATTGTTCCCTCTCTGCAGTGTCTCCTTAACATCAGTTAGTGTGTTTATTTCCCCTCTAGCCCTGACTCGTTCGTGACGTTTTTACATGATTCACATGCTTGTTGTCATCTTCAAGGGTGTTATTGCAATGGACAATGGTCAAACTGGATCCCCAAAAGGCTGGACACAGCCCCGAGTTCACTAAACACAGAAACTTAAAGCTTTCACACATGACTACAGTTGCAATGTCATCACTGTTAAACTTCATGTCTTGGCTTTTCATGTTCTGACATCCAACTCTTTGTCTGTGCCAACTCTTCAAGGATACTTTGGGCGGGCGTTTCGATGCCTCCCAGGCTCTGGTCGGCGAGCTCTCCCAGTTTAACCTGTGGGACCGGGTGCTGAAGCCTGCAGAGGTTGCCGCTCTGGCTGAGTGCAGCTCCTCAGCTCTAGGCAACATCGCCCCATGGACCGACCACGACGTGGATGTCTACGGCGGCGCCACCAAGGAGTCCCTGGACCCGTGCCACGCTGCTCAGAGATCCAGCCCTTCCAACCCCAAACAGTGAAGGGTGACTGGGAGAGGCCGGCCAAAGGGTGGCCTTGTTTGATAGGTCAATTTTGGGAGTCGATTCAGGAGTTTAAAGGCGTATCAAATTGGAGTTTCCAGTATATTTGCTTGTTGGGGGGTGGGAAGCTTGCCGGTGGACTGAAAGATGGCGCTATTAAGTCGTTAAGAGTGGTGTATCTGTTTTGTTCTTTGTGTTGGTGTCCACGCTCATGTGTTTACTTCTGCAGTGAGATACAGTGAGTTTAGTCACAGAATCACCTTAGAGGAGGCTGCATGGGGCGATCTGCTTCTGGCATGAACAGTTTCAATGGAGACACTTCGTAATAGATTATCGATCGGATCTGGTACCACCTTCTGTTTTTAGGCAATGGTCTGTTGGGCCAGTTCACCATACGTGATTATTCAGGCTGAGCTCCTCGATGGGGTTTGAATACAGTTCTAGAATGAACCTATACTGATGCCATGTCTAAGGGTTTCGTCGTTTTACAACAAAGTGGCACAAAGTTCTGTCTTTGCTCATCTTGTGTCCAGTTGGTTGTGTTAAATGCTACGACTGATTTCTAAGATGCTCTTGTGGTAATGTTGATTTTTATCACTCAATGGGAAACAAAATGAGTTTTGTTCATTTTTAACTGTATATGATCCTGTTGAGTAATGTCTGTGTGCTCTTAAGTTTTCTATATTGCATACCATGATTTGGTAAAACAGTGGTCTTATAAATGTATAACGTGTAATGTACCTCTGCTAATGTTGCTCTGTACCAGTCTGCTGCCCCCCTGCTGTAGCCTCTCACACACACCTCACGAAGCAAAGTTGCAGCATTTCGCTTTGCAACGTAGACAAAGCAGCGCTCTCAGCTGACCTCTGAAATAAACACTTCATGTCCAACTAAGCACCAATCAGACACCGAGATTACGATGATAAAACCGTGGTACCCTTGAATGTAAACCAGATAAAACAATTTAAGTGTGTTTGCATGAGTGTTTTCTGCAAAGTCACATTTCTTGTCACAGAAAAAAAACAACAACTAAATGTGCAAATGACAGTGTTTGTGTCCCCAGACTGCCTCACAGTTTAGTGATGCATTTTCAGTCAATCATATCCTCACAGACAGCGAGGGAAGAGTCTGACCTGCATTGTTTCCAAGATGACCACTTTGTACGTAATAGCTGGCTCTGTGCAGAGGAACAGTCTGAAAAGAATTCATTTTTACCAACACACTGATTTGTTTCCATTTGGAGCTGGCAGACACAGAAGCGTCTGGACCGGCTATCATTAGGTGACTGTAAACTCATGCTTCTGTTATTATTTTCGCAAACTAAAGAACAACAAACGAGCGAATAGAAACAAACCTGAACTACAGTCTGGTGCCGTTTATTTTTGTCACATATTTCAAATTGTTGAAATGAGATGGAAACAGCAGCAGCTAGATTTTGTGTATTCTTTGTTTCAAAAACATCTAATTCTACATCATGCAAGAATTTATATCAGAAGGAGTCTAATCGTGCATATTTATTACAGAGACAGTAAAACATTCAGCATCATCAAAAATCATATTTTATGAGGCTTCTTGACATTTCCCTTGAATGACTTGTTTTTTGATTTTTACATTTTGCAGCACAGTCTGGTGTAATGGACCTTTTGAATTATTTATTACATTTACCAACTGGGTATTAATGTAATCTATATTTAATAATGCCATTAATCCACGTACACAACATTGCAAATTAACGGCAGACTTAAGACATGCTACAGTGAAAAGAGGACAACTCTATCCTCACTCTAACCAGTACTGGACATTTGGATACCAAAATATTCCAATATCAACATATATTGGCAGATATTTTTTTTTTGTACATATGCATATATTTATACATTCAGTGATATAGAAGTATATTGCAAAGGAGAAAGGTTTATTAATCATTTGTTTATTAGCTTTCCAGCAGTGTATCTCACACATACAAATACAAACCAATCACGAAGACGCCGCTTGACTCCGCACCACCGGCTGCTCTGCTACATGTGCTGCGCTGACAGTATTGTAAACGATGGAGTCAGAGCTGCTCTGTTAAAGAAATGACATGATGACACCGTTTCTGAATTAGCCCAAGCATTTTGTTTTGCATCATGCTCTGTAAAATAAATCAGTCAAAACTTTTGATTTTGATGATTTCGGCTGACTAATGTATCGATCAGGCTCTACTATAAGGGGTTAAATCACTGGGAGAGCTACTACTGCAATGACTGAGTTTTGCCGGAGCAGGCAGTAGCACGAGTTAGCCGCTGCTCGATCACCTCAAACTGTGATGCACCACACTCTCGGGATTAGATCGTCTCCTTTCTTTTTTCGGCGGGTTCTGTGAAAGGACAACATTCCTCCGATGTTTGATTTGCATCTTCGTAAGCAACAGCAAAAACAGATAGGCCGTGCTAAACGTCTCGCTTCCAGTTCACAGTGGACATCATAGGAACAGAAGGCAGAGGAAGCCAGACACACTGTGAGGGCTGAGGGTTTGATTCTCACTTTGGCCACCTACACTAAACATGTAACCAGTCAACACTGTGCAGCAAAATGAACTGTGGTCAAGATACAGTCAGTGCTTCTGTTCACTTATTACCTCAAGACATCAGCCCCACATACGATCTGACACCCTGTTGTAAAGTGCCTGCCTGGGCTCTCAGGCCCAAAAAAAATAGTCAAATGTTTTTATGTTTTCTTCTTCTTCTTTGTCTCTTTCTTCTTCTTCTCTCTCTCTCGTTTTTGGTTGTTGATGGCTGTGACAGTGTTGCGCTTGTCCTTATTTGCATCTTCATGGATCTTCTATGATATTGTGAAATAGGTGGATAAAACTAATAAAAATGGTTATGACAACGTTTCTGTCTGTGTGTGTGTGTGTGTGTGTGTGTGTGTGTGTGTGTGTGTGTGTGTGCTGCAGCAGCTGTAGTGAGACTGTAGGCCTCCATCCCACTAACACACAGGCACACTTAAACACACCCACGCAAAGGTGTTTCGCCCAGTTTCACAGTGTTGTAGTCGGACTACATCACCGGCGTCCTTGGCGTCTGATTCAGACACGTGTGTCGACGCATGTGTGTGTGTGTGTTTACATGGAGAAAGTCTTCTGCAGAGACGCCACGGAAAGTGTGATCTTTGGTGCAGGAATAATAGATTAGTCATAAATTTGCCGAGGACCGTGTTGTTTCGTGACTGCTGATCTGCCCACACGCGCAGCCTTTCTTGGCATTCTGCTGAGCTGAACTGTCAGCTGATGCGTAACCTCCCACTGATAATATTTCATAACATTATTTGTCTCACTTGGCTTCCTCTCTTTTCCTCACAGTGCATCATTTCAGTCTCATGAACAAGCAAATTATGATTGACATCCCACCAAAAGCGACTTGTAAAACTGACACCACCACCACTACTGCTTAATAAACACCTTCCCAGCAGCCCCTAACAGTCCTTGAGATTCAGATTCAGATTCGTTTTATTGTCATTGCAACGAGTACAACAAAAAAGTCAGGTGCAGGTCTTTCAGTGCACAAACAAAAATATAAAAACTTTGTAAAACAACTATATACAATATTAAAGAAATATATATATATATGTACAATGTATATATATAAAGATGAAATTAAATAATAAGAACAGTGTATATTGCACAGAGTGGATATTGGACAGAGGCAGTTGTATATTTACAATATATTGCACTTATTGTGACAAGAAGGCCTTTATGGCTCTGACAGCAGTTGGAGAGAAGCTGTTTTCAGCCTGTTAGTCCTGTTTCTGATGGCTCTGTACCGTCAGCAGCTCAAACAGGAAGTGGCCCGGGTGGTAGGAGTCCTTCAGGATGGTGTCGGCTCTCCTGAGACAGTAAGAGCCATGAAGGTCCTCCAGTGTGGGCAGAGGGCACCCAGTGACCTTCTCAGCCGTTTTGGTGACCCTCTGGAGTTTTTGTGCAGCTGGCAAACCACGTACAGAGACAGAAGATGAGGATGCTCTCCATGGTGGAGCGGTAGAAAGACACAAGCATCTCTGGCTGATGTTGTTCTTCCTGAGGATTCTCAGGAAGTGAAATCTTTTTTGTGGCTTCTTTACCAGCCGTGTGGTGTTCTTATTCCAGGTCAGTTTCTCCTCAGTGTGAACTCCCAGGAAGTCACTGAGCCTTTCCACACAGGCCCCACCAATGAGAATGGGCTGAAGGTCCGTTCTGTTCCTTCTGACGTCTATGATTAGCTCCTTTGTCTTGGATGAGTTCAGGAGCAGGTTATTGTCTCTACACCACACAGTCAGCTGTTGCACCTCAGCGGACTCATCACCTCCTGTGATGCGACCTACCGCTGTGGCGTCATCCACATGAACAGTTGCTCATATTGCCTGTTCAGTAAATCAGCTTTGCCCCGTGTTCTGACAGTGGAAGAAACAATGAACAAACACATACAGATTTTAATTCAGTTGATTTACTCATGCACAGTTTCATCTTTTCCTTTTGTTGTTTGTTGTTTTCAGTGGCGTACACCAGCTCCAGTTCCCATGAGGTTTTGACTGTGTTTGCTGCCAAAGCTGAAGAAATAACAGCGATGTATGAGCTGTTTTCCAGGAAAATATTAATATTCTTTGGGAGGCAGGAAGTAAAGTCTTGCAAATAAAAAGCTTTCCGCTGGTCTAGACTGAATTATCAGCTGTTGAACGGGTGGCAGGGAAGCTTTATGACATTCATGGTGCCCAGAGGAAGAACCCAGTGGTTTTGATTAGTGGTCTGCACTCACACAGCGCCGTTTGAACTGCCAGCCTCGTAATAGGTGGACAACCCGCTCTACCACCGGACTTTTACCCGTACGCAACGTTGACATTTGTGGCTTCAAAGGAAATCTTCAAAGGTATTCGATCAACACCCGTCGGTTAGAGTGGCAGGAAGTTTTGGTGCACAAAGTGATAATCCTGCAGGTTAAATTGCAACAACTCGGCAGTTCTCCGATTTAATGAATGCCACATTCAAGCTTCCTAACTTTGCTACATTTTGTGAATAAAACTAATTATGAACACCTCGCTGTGGTCATCAACCAGGAGAAACTCATGTGTGCGTGTTAAAGTTGCATAGAACATTCTTTTCCATTGAAATAATTTCTTCTTTCCTTAAAATGCCTTCGATCTAACTCTCCAAATATCTTCCTCTAGAATGATCTATGAAGTTCCCGCCTCCCTCTTCTTGAACCCCTCCCCTCTCGCTGCAGCTCGAGCACACCAGCTCCTCTACGACTCTGCTCAAACACTGTAAAACTATTCTGCACTACACAATGCTGAGCTGTAATATTGGAGTAATTCAGCCATATATGTTCCAACAGGAAGGTGAATCTAAAGAAGAATATTGATATAGAAAGCTCCGACCTGCAAGTTGACAGGATTGGTTCCTTTCGTTTATAATGTATGAAACCATCCATCCATCATCTATCCACCGCTTAATCCTCACTAGGGTCACAGGGGGGCTGGAGTCTATCCCAGCTGACTCAGGGTGAAGGCAGGTTCACCTGGACAGGTAACCAGTCCACACTTAGAGACTCACATTCACACCTACAGACAATTTAGAATCACCAATTAACCTCAACATGTTTCTGGACTGTGGGAGGAAGCCAGAGAACCCAGAGAGAACCCACGCTGCACGGGGAGAACATGGAGACTCCACTCAGAAAGATCCTGGGTGTCCTCACTGGGACGCGACCCGGCGACCTTCTTGCTGTGAGGCAACGTTGCTAACCACCAAGCCAAATTGCAGCCCCTGTATGAAACCACAGAAGTTGAAATGTGTGTTTTTGAGCTGCTGTTTCAATGTGTACGTACTCAATCATAGTTCTGATTGCTTTTCTCACTCATGATATGTCTTCTGTTATATAAGAGGCGGCTGTGGCTCCGGTGGTAGAGCGAGTCGGTCGATGATCGGAAGGTCGGCGGTTCGATTCCTCCCTGTAACCT